GTACAACGGAGAGCCCCTTAATCCTGCCTGTCAGTAAGGGCAGAACTTATACACGTGACCGGCTTCCTTGCAATGAAAACACAAAGGCCTGTGCTCATGGTCACGCCAGATGTCACTTTTCCGGGGCTTTGCTCCATGTAGCAAGCTACACCACGGGCTCGTGGCAGGTAGGTAGCCGTCGGTTCCAGTGAACGAGGTGCGCTGCGTACCGTCTGTGGGTAAGGAGTGGCCATCGCAACTGCTGCTTTGGTGTGTGCCGTGGGTTGTCTGAGTATTTCCGGGTTGGTTGGGTGTCGTTGGATTGAATTTTGCTCACACTCCGGCTCGCCTATTATCTGCCTCAGTTCATCTCGTACTGCGTCGACGACAGAGAGTGTTGCTGTAGTGTGATGTGCTTGCAACTTGCTGAAATCTTCCCCGATCACCGATCACATAAGTTCTCACAGGGCGTCCATGTCACTTCACTGGCCTCCGGAGAAGACATTGGCAGGTGCGTAGTTTATGTTTCGATTGTATTGTCGAGCCCACTGTTCTAGCGTTTTCTTGATGGCTGTCGCTTCCGTATGAAACTTTGCAACTGTTCGTGATGCGTTGCGGACGAGAACACCGAATAGCTCTTGCTTCACCCCACCAATGAAGTGGCGCAGCTTCTTATCTTCAGTCATATGGGAATCTGCGCGCTTGAAAAGCGGATCATATCCTCGGTGTACATGGTGACGCTTTCGTTGGTGGGGTGGTTTCTGGTTTTAAGCGCTGCCTCCACCTTTTCTTTGCGATCCATGCTGGCATAAGTAGCTAGAGCTTGTCACCGAAATTCATCGCAGGTAGTGAAGGAGGCTTCTTGGTTCTCATACCACGTCTTTTCAAAGTCCTCCAAAGCAAAGTGTACGTGGGGGTGCTTCTCTCTCTCTCGTCCCAATCGTTCAAACTTGCCACTCTCTCAAAGAGGTTCAGCCAATCTTACGCGTCTTCATACGAGTCGTCATGAAATAATGGTGGCTGGTGAGGCTGACTGATGATCACCACGTGTGCTGGTGTTACCTGGCTTGTCATAGTGGTGGCGTCCTTTGACTGAGTTCCCCTCGGCGTGAAGTGGAGTGAACTGAATTCTGGTGAGTCACCTCGAACACGGCGACTGGTCCTCTGGTGCACAGGTGTCAGGTCCGCAGGATAAAGTCACTGGTGGCCGGGGCTACGCTGTCTTTCGTTCGTAGGACTTCGATTCATTAACCAGCACCTCCACCAGAAATGTAGCAATGTTGAAGGACTCGGGGGTATAATAAAACGTATTTATTGAAAGGGCAAACCTTTCGACAAGAGTGGCGATGTTGGGTTTTTTGTGAAACATTTGAAAGAAATTTATGTAGCGCGAGGCGAAAAAACGAACACAGGAAAAATCGACTGAGAGGACAGAACGCTCTGGGGTGAGGATGTAGCGCTCTGTCCTCTCAGTCTATTCTTTCCTGGGTTCGTTTTTTCGCCTCGCGCTACATAAACTTCTGGCGAACCTGTGTCCACAACTCAATGTGACTATGGTTGTAAAACTACGTGTCAGTCGAGCACCAAAGATGTCTTTCAGCTGCCTTCTTCCTTTCCGTGAGAAGTGCCGAGCGCGTGGCGCACATCAGCTGGGTCCAGCCGGGTGCTTGTGCAATCATCGTCTCTGCGCAATACAAAACGGCGCACATGTTCGTCCCTGTGCGTCCAGTTATGGGCGCATTGTTTGAATGCACGCAAGATGTCGCGGCAATATGAATATAAGAGACGCCGTAGTGGAGGGATCCGAAAATTTTGACCGCCTGGGATTCGTGAACGTGCACCGAAATCCCAGCACATAACACGGGTCTCATGTATTTTCGCCTCCTTTGAAAATGTGGCCACCACGGCCAGGATTCGACCCGCCACTTGCGGGTCTGCATCCGAGTGTATTAGAGAACCCTGGAGGGCGTATTTGACAACGTGAAGTGCCGTGCTACTGAGTTCGGTGGGCTCGATTGCCAGTTATGGCAGCGGTATTTCGAAAGGGCTAAATGAAAAAGAACAACTGCGGGCTTAGATTTAGGAGCATTTTCGAGAACCCCAAGTAATGAATATGAATCATGAGGTCCCCGGTACAGCGTGTTTCATCATGTAGTGGTTTTGGTATATAAAATCCGAACAATTCTATTGCGTCCCAAAAGTGATCTACTTTCAAGTGCTCGCTGGTTACCACAATTTGCTGACAAGTGTCATGATGTATATAGCTTGATAATTCATTGTTTTTTCCGTCGTCAGCAGAAAAGAAAATCAAGTACGCTAATAACGCCTTTCACGGTGCAGTTTGAGCCTTGCAGCCCACCGATCAAGTGATTTATCTTCAACTATTCGCCCAATTTCGAAGCTGAAAGGTTCTTCAACTTTCAACTAACAAAATTTATCGCACTTCAGTCCCCACACGCGCAACACGTTGCGGAACACAACGACGACGAGGCATGGCTGGCACGTTTTCGCTAAGCAAGTTTTCGTGTTATTACCGCATCACGGCTTGCGCTGGTCGCCATTTGCCGACGCCAGTGTAGCTGAGAGTTGCGAATACAATAAAAGATTTCACTAATATCAGTGCGTGTATAAGTTCTAAAAATCAGCGCCATACCTATTGCCCTAGCTCAATTCACTACAAATAACAAGAATGAACACCGATTTCAGTTATTCATGTTTTATTAGTACAGCGTACATGATAGATCGAAATATTCTAAACGCAGGCGTAGACCTAAGCCCGGCGTTTGTTAATATGGAACGCGAACAAATATTACCGATTTTGTAAGATGACATTATGAAAGTAACCTTTTAACCTGTTAGGTTCATTTATAATAATTATAACTTATCTACAGAGTCAGTCCATGACTATTTTCATTATTGCATATGTAATCAGTGCTCTAACCATTAAATTGGGGTGATTAAAATCACCTAAATTATGTTAAGAAAAAAACACGTTGGTCCAACAACGCATTATTGGAATTTCCGCTGACGTTTACTGACGTCTTGTAAAACTAGCCCATTATTGATAAACTAGTACCTCACCAACCCAACATGACCTATCTTAGCACTACGTGACATATTACTAAAATGACACAGATAATTCAAGAATAGTTCACTCACCAGTTTTGCACCACACCAGCGACTGCCGAGTCTCTCACCACTCGGGATATCACAATGTGTCGGATGCTACCAGGAACCATCCACGATTACCATTCGCACAACTCCCTTCTTTCGATGATAAACTTCGTTGCTGCTTGTAGTCGCTTGTGATATCCAGAAGTTGCACAGAACGATTTCTTTTTTCCGAACGCGACCGAGTGCTTCGCAGAATCCTCACTGCACCGGCTTGGTCTGAGCCATGTTAGTTTGTGGGGAACATCGTTCCGGCGCCGAGGCTGCCTACATCACTCCTCAAACAAGCAATGAATGCCACAGAGCGATGAGCCGGGATCATTGGAGAGCATCCACCGACGCAAAAGCGATGTGCCGGATCATTTTCAGAGCAATCATGGGAGCATAACCGAGAGATTGGCCCGTTTTTCTTTGTTTTTTTTTTGTCCTGCACCCACCGGAGAAAAGCGGTGGAAAATGAATGTGTTTGCACCGGTACAAACCAGTTCTATTGGGGCTACCAGAGGAGAGTGGGTGAATCATTCACCGATTTCTCCCAGTTGGGCATATTTTTATTTACAGTGTAGTAAGCCCATAAATATGTCATGTAGCTAAGTTTCAGTAGAACAAATAAAGAAATTGATTGGCTGAGTAGTGAACTTGTGTTATAACCTGTCCGTTAGACCAAACAGATTGATCTAATTTCTTAAATTCTTTATATGAGCTTTTATAGGCAGAAGGTCCACAGGACTGCATGAGTGTGCTGTGACTTTGAACCTGTTTGTGTCAGTATAAGGCTTGGTCATCACATTCGCACTCAATCTGTTACTATGATGGCGAAATTCTTGTGTTCTTGCTTCTGGGCGTGTTTTTTGTGCTTTCTGTAGATATATAAAACCGGCCAGCGCATAACTGGTGTACTGTTTCGAGTTTATGGATGTCTTATGCGCACTGAGCGGCAAATAAAAAAAAAGTTTTGAAAAAGAGGCCTACGTGGTGTGTGGTGGGCGTTTGAAGTGTGCGCCTTCAAAAAGTGTGCGTCACACAAAGAGATGAGAAAGTGCACGCGAGGACTTGTGTAAAAGACAATGACGATGAAGATCTCGCGTGCGAGGGCACGAGGACGCGTGTTGCTATGAGAGCAAAGTGAAAGAGCAGAGACCTAATGTTCAATTACCACGTAATCCTGACATGAATAACCTCAGATTCAGAAACAGAAAACAGTGGGCCGGGAGTACAAGAAGAACAAGAAGAGCGGTAGGTGGTCACCGGACGCTCAAGATGGGTCGTCGAGACTTCAACCAGCCGGGGCCTCCAGCCGTCATGTTCCCACTCGAGAGCACCCTCGCCATCCGGTCATGAACGCCAGTACAAGGCCTGTGGACTTCGGTCGTGACCGGGCTACGGGCCTGAACTCTGCATCAAGCAAACTGGCCAGGTTTCCCTGATTTCTCGAAGCGTGGTACAACCACCAGCATTCTCTCGTCGTCAGCAGTGAGTCCACGTCACTACTACAGTGAAGCCTTTCCGTTTGGTGAGACGGACCTACAACTACTCCACCACTCAATCGCGTCCGAACTGTGCTTCCTAAGCTGTTTAAGGTTTTAAACTGCCACTTAGTTTTCGGTGAAAACTGTTTGAACGTGTGCAATGTGCACTTGTGTGATAGTAGTGTAGTTTTTGTTTATACATAAGGTTTAGTGCTTGTTCATTAAACCAATGGTTTTGTACTCGTTGATGTTCCCAGATGCTCAGCCCGAGAGAGCTAATTTATAGCATAAAAAGAGCCTGTATCACATTTTCATATGTACTACGTCAGTCCTCTGTATTTATATGATCTTTATCTTATGAAATTTCTCATGTTTTCGCAGCCTTGGACTCATATCGGACGCATTCCACATGTTTTTCGACTGCACGGCACTCTTGGGAGGTCTGGTCGCTGCGGTGATCACCAAGTGGGATGCCAATGCGCAATTCTCTTATGGGTGAGCGTCTACCTTCAGATATTGAGTAGTCATTGCTGTTCTTGTAGGAGGATAGAGTGAACACCGTTTTACGCATTATGAGAGCAAATGTTTAATCATCTCATGAAGGATTACCATCATTTTATTTATTTATTTTATTTATTTATTAGAATACCCTCAGGCCCGTAGGGCATTACAGAGGGGGTGGGTACAACATTTTATAACACACAAAGGAATAAGGACAAGAAAAAAAGACAAAGAAAAGAAACAAGTGTCAGATGCGCAAATCACGAAGGTAACATAAATCAACTAAAAATGCATAAGTAAGAATTCAAGCACATACAAGACAAAGATAATGGAAACTGCGTATAGTTACAAACATTGCTGAGAAATTGCAGTCTTGAATAACAAAGGGTCTGTTATTGTTACAACGGAAGAGGGAAGATTTTATATAATGAATCGAAGCCGAAAGAAGGGGCCCAATGTCGGTAAGAGTACTGACTCCTAATTGGAACGCGGTCACTCTATTTTATTCGAATTGTTGTTCACACTATATATTGACGTTCTAGTGCGAATGCATATTACAACGTTGAACAGTATGCTGATTACTGCATGACAAAAAAATGGCTACATTGGCTGGTCGCTGTAGCATTTTAAAAGAAATATACTTTATTAGTGTGCAGAATGTTCTAGAAAGAAGTCAGATAGGACAGGGAGCACTATATTTCCTTTATTATGATAATTTTATCGCCTCTATAACGGGGCCATTAAATGCCTGTAGTTTAAATTCATCTTGAGGACTAACCCCCATATTCAGAAACGCTGCTGCACTAGAACTTGACTTGAAACAACCTTCTATGCATCGTGTTTGAAAGGCGTATGTGCGCTTGTGCTGCCTTGGCACCACCAGAAAACAGCGCGTTAGAAACGCGTTTGTGCTGCATTCAAGTCTGTGGCAAGTTAAGTTCAAGTAAAGCAGCGTTTCTGAATATGGGGCTAAGTCACACTACGTTTATTTCACACTTGTTCGATTCTTCATGCTTAGTTTTTTAACTTCTGCAACAACAAAGGCAGCAAATAGTTAAGTGGAGAAAACATGTAGATTGGTTTCCAAGTTGTCTGACCAGACAGTTTCAATTTTTGCATACGTTAACATTTAGCATGTCCATGTTTAGTACACATATCAGTGAAATAAAAAAAAACAACAGCTGCATTCGAACTTCGTAATTTACGTGTATATATTTGCAAAAGTTGAAGGGCGCCTTCCAATTTCCAAAGTATGTTTGTCGAAAAACTGCAGCCGTTTCACTAATCATGCTATGTATTTTTCGTGCATGACACTGCTGATGCAAGTGCACAATTCTTTGAAATGTCTGTGCTTGTGGGCTCTATCCCCTCTCTAACCAATTTGTCATGCTGGTCTGTTCGTGGGCTGGCCATTGCGAGGTCATGACCGTTCAATCTTGGTGCTCCTAAACCTGTATTCCCATGACAAACCAAATAACGATTCGAGCTTACGGATTTCATACTACGTCACCATAAGCCAGCTTTCTCATCGTAAGCCGTTCTAGCTTTCCCGCTTCGGTCCACGTAGACCGATTCATGAAACCATGGAAGCCCAAATGGCTGTAGAGATCCCGGGAACCAGTGCCAAAATCCTCGCTTGTAGCGTGAACTCTCCCCTTTCGTGTGAATGCTAGCTGTGGGGGGATCACTGACCTTCATTTAAAAGGCTGGACACCTCATCCCCGCTCTCCCATACGGGCACTTTTGAAGATACCGCTAGATCTTTTTGGTGTCTTGGAAGCTGACGTCTTTTGGTGTTTTAAAAGCGTAATTGAAATATGTGGTGGCAGTTGTTATTCTGTTTTTTGTGTTTTGGGGGCGAAGCTTCTTAAGCCATTGGTCGTTCTCTCCTCTGTAGTCGTGGTAGTAGTATCTAGCCACCTCTAGTTTGAGTTGCTCAATAGATGGCGTTTTGTGCATATATCCTCGGGAATAATATAACTCAATGGCATAAGTGGTTTGCAAAGCCTATCCACGAAGTGAATCCTGATGAGTGGGGCGAAGCGTGTGTTCACAGTCTGTGTGTCCATTTGGCCATCCGTTCGTGCGTCAGTCTGTCTGTCCATCCGTGGTTCTTTCTGTCCTTCCGTGCTTCACTCCGTCCATTCGTGAGTCCATCTATGCTTCTGTCTGTCGGTTCGAGCATCCGTCAGTCCGTCCGTACGTCCATTTGAACGGGAGTACAAACGGACGCTTCATCCCACTTTCATCATTCACTCTGTGGATTGCTGCTATTTCTTTTATTATAACAGTATTGCGGTCATCCGACGCTACACGATAAATGACAGGTGCTGTAGCGACGCCGTAGCGGCGCTGTAGCGACCCGCTGATCACCGCTGACAAGCTCATTTGGAAAGGGTTTTAACTGTTTCAAGCACGCTCCATTTTGGGTGAAAAACAGAGTTTTATTTATAAAATGCAGAATTATTTTGCATAAAATAACTTTCTCACAAGAAACAAAGAATTGGTAGTTTTAACAAACATGCGGGCTCTGTTACATCAACCAAACAGGCCGGTGCAATAATGATCACTTGATGGAGCTCGCTAACACTCTAAAAGGCTTCGTTCTCAGCCACTTGGCGGACCATTGTAAAAAGTGGGGCTGTCAGCCAATTTTTGACTATTGTCGGATTGTGGTGCAGTTGAAAAATCAGTGTGAGCGCGAGATTAGCGAAGCCTTCTACATTCAGCGATCTAGTACTTCCTGTGTTAGCGTACCTTCGATTTCTCTTCACGGCTGTGAAATTAGTTATTTAGGATCCACTCAGTATAACGGACTCTTGATAAGGTAAACCGTTTGGCACATGTATATGTAATTTTGTTGATGTTGCGTGGTTATGCGCAGATTCTGTTTTCCTATAAGTTTCAGTTGTCCCCGCCGCGGTGGTCTAGCGGCTAAAATACTCGGCTGCTGACCGGCAGGTATCGGGATAGAATCCGGGCTGCGGCGGCTGTATTTCCGATGGAGGCGGAAGCGTTGTAGGCCTGTGTGCTCAGATTTGGGCGCACGTTAAACCCCAGGTAGCCGAAATTTCCGGAGCCCTCCACTACGGTGTCTCTCATACTGATATGGTGGTTTTGGGACGTTAAACTCCACATATCAATCAATTATTATATATTACTGTTGTTTTGCAATAAACATTAGTTGTTAGTTCAGCGCTCTGTTCTCGTGTCTTCTATCCCCTCCTGTCGTTTGCGCTGTTAAGCACCTTCTTCGTCTACCTTGGCAGTTTTAGTTCAAGAGATACCAGGGGTGCTATTCTGGACACTGTTTAATTCCAACATAGTGTAAAATTTCGGAATGGCGGCATTTTAGGCCAATCAGAGAAGCCGTAGCAGTTCATTAGATCAATCAGGATCGATTGATGGCGGAATGTGACAACATGGTTGAATTCACCAGTGTCCAGAATAACACTACAGGTGGTCATATGAGGTGAACAACAAAAAGCAAGGGCCTACTGGTTATTTTCGATGAAAGGCCGCAAAGCAGTTCTCTTTTCCTCGCAAGAGCTAAGATGCATTTTGTTTAGCGCACATTAATCTAATTAATCAGAGCGCTTGTATATATCTTGAAAAACAGTTCCATTAGAGAGCGATCGAAAAATGTATATCATTTCCCTTCTAAAATCTTCATGGTGGTCGGCCCAGGGGATCAACTTTAGTGCAGTGGTGCTAAGCATATTGATCGGATACGGCTTTTCATTTCCCAATTCCTTGATATTAGCAACCCGGAAGGCATGGTTACCAAAGCGAAAACAAAGGCAGTACACTTGCTGTCGGCGCTTCATTATTGTTGGTGGATTAGAGACGATCTGCTGGGCAACGCAAAAGGTTGACTAGCAAATGCACAATTCGGCAAAATTGTAATTTTTATAATATGTAGATTGAGATTTTTGGACCCCTTAGAGTCCATACCAAGGAACTACAAAACAAGTCTTCACTCATCCAAGTCGCAGTCACGACGACGATGATAATATACTCTTGCTGATAGCGCTCGATGATGTGTCAGCGGCCGCTGAGCGCGGGCGGTGGTGGCTTCAGCTAACTACAAACTTCAGCGACATGGTTGTCAGTATTGACTGAATAGAGCTCTTCATTTCTATGTTCTTTAGCGTTAGCTATCAATGAAAAATAAAGGTAAATCTAAGGGCTAATTGTCATTGTTAGGCAAAATAATAAGGAGAGCTCACAGACAACTATACCGAGGAAAGTATAGGGGATCTTATGAGAAGTATTGGTAGCGTAATTGTGAACGAAGCAATGTGGACGAAAATATCACTTGCAGTGAGCAGAGCCCGAACCTGCTACCTTCAAAAAATGCTTCCAATGCCCGACCAACTGAGGCGCCGTTGCGGCCATTGCCTTGTCCACTTTATAAGCTATGCATGTGCATTTCAACACGGGAGCATCCGTCAGCGTCAATTGTTCCCATTGCGGCAAGTGTGTACACTCATTTTTTGCCTGTTGTTGTGACGTAGCACGTGACCTTATCACGAGCTGGCAGCTGACCAATTATCCGTCGTATAGCTAATCATATAGCAGCGTAAGCTACTCATACAACATACTCTCCTGCACTCTAAACATAGAGGGACAGCACATACTTATAAATCTTTAAAGATATATTGGTTCCACCATCTAGCGCGCCTTGAGGATGCCGACAGCCGGAAAACAGCAAGCGTCACATGTCACATTGAAGCCCAAACGAAGTAACGTCATCTCTGTCAGATTACCGAAAATTTTGGAAAATCTTACGATATATCCACGAAGTGAATGACGCTGAAGGAGCTTGCTTCGTCCATGCGTCCGTCCGTCTGTCTGTGTGTGTCGTCTGTCTGTCTGTCTGTCTGTCTGTCTGTCTGTGTGCCTGTCTGTCTGTCTGTCCTTTCATCCACCCGTCCGCCTAAACTGCGAAGTGCTATCTAGGGCGTGGTATTCAAACCAACCAAGGGCCCAAC